GGATTTCCTCAATAACCGTTTCCCAGGTCGGTGGATTGGTCAAACAGGGTCGATAGCATGGCCACCTCGTTCTCCAGATTTGACACCTCTAGATTTTTTCTTATAGGGTTTCATTAAAGATCGTGTGTATGTTCCACCCTTACCTGCCAATCTCACTGAGCTCAAAGCTCGAATCACTGCCGCAGTTGCAGAAGTGACACCGGATATGCTGGATCGTGTTTGGCAAGAAATTGATTTCAGGTGGGATGTCTGCAGTATCACCAATGGCAATCACATCGAACCAAAATTACTGTTTGAGGTAAAACTTGATTTGTTTTGCTACAAAATGACACCTCAACCGATTCTGTAAGCCTTCTGAATAAATTTCTATACACTTTCAAAGTTGTAAAGTCCTTTTTGAATCACCCTGTATATTCACTCAATCATAAAATACAGATTAATATTTTGGTGTAACTTGTCTGATAGTAATAAAATATTTCATCTATAAAATAACTGTATTGGAATTATGGTAAGTGTTCAGAAAAGGGAACTATGTGTAAAATATTTTCCTTATAAGCCTACTGACTCTATCAGAAATGATTCATTTATTAGCTCTAAATAATTTATGGCATCACAAATATGTTTTAAACAAACTCAAAAACTTACACCATTAATGAGACATAAATATGATCTTCACAGATCAGTTGCTATCTTAGTCTTACAGTCTATCAATGTGGAGTCCACATTGCTGGGATAAAACTATAAAAGCTCCCGCTCATTAACAGTTAATAATTTAAAGTAGCAATAAAAGAATTCCTCTCAAATCATACCATCTACTCTGTTGAATTCATTACTACATTAAGAGTACAATAATGTGTCTGATTGAAAATTTTGTATATAGTTCTATGTTTGTATGTATCTCACAGATAACCTATATGTGTGGAAATGAAGAAATTGGCACAAGATAAGCGAAAATGGAGGACCACATCAAACCAGTCAAAAGACTGATGACAAACAAACATCCGATATGTGTATATTCTTAGCGAGTTAAGTGTGTGTAATTTATGTAATGGCCTGTACTAATTTACTTGGTATATTAATTTGGTAATAAACATATTTTGAATATAGTGTATTTTTAACAATTTATAAATATATTATATAGATTGACCATAAATATCTGAACATTTTCAAATATTGATTTAAGAAAAATTACATTACATACAAAAATCAAAATCAAAATCAAAATATTTTTGTTATTTGAATAAAAAAACTGGATGGAAACTATCAATGATTCATTCAGTTGCTACATTCTGTTATCAAATAAGTATCTGACAACAATGCAAGCTTTTCATTGATTGTAGATTGTAGATTACTGTTGTGGGTGTTCCATTGATCTTCTTATTTTTTGCATATTATGTTGCGTATTATGTTAGTTGTTCATTATTCAAGAGTTTGATGTGCAGTGTGTACCCGTCTGATCAGGTGAATGTCAGTTCATATGAACTGACATTGAAACATGTAGTAGTAAAAAGCGCAATATTGTAACATCGAGATAACGATGAATGGCGCAGAATATTAATATTAATTTTAAATTTTAACACCAACAATTTAAAAGTTTGTGTATAGACTTGAATAATAAATATATATTTGAATTTAAAACACAAACATGACGCATCTAAACTATAAAAATGAATAATTTAACAGTACCCATCACTAAACTTGATTAGCCTTGCAATAGATTGTAACAATAAATGAACATCAAGGCCAATGAGATATCAAAATCACAAAGAATGCACTAGGAATATATGTATAAATGGACAAATCCTTCCATTCTTGTTCTCCATAAGAAGGAAATAAGCAGGTTCTTAAAATAATAATTTATCACACATTACAGTGCAAAAGCTAGAGACATAACAAAAAAATCCCATTAATTAACAATTACACACAGTCAGCAGTAACAGCATGTCAATGTTAAACACAGCCCAACCTTGTTGATGTAACATTTCCCCACAGGCATAACCATGTTTTTCTGGAATGGGATAGTATGATGCAATGCTGCCGCCAGATACAGACCTTATCAGATCCAGGCTTTCTGGCTGCACCATTATTGGTAACTCACATATCCAGGCTGAGAGCAGTTTAGTATTAAAAAGGTATATAGTATGCAGCTGAACAATACATTTTCATCTATGACAGTTATGTAAAAAATTATGTCAGGGAATTTCAATAAAATGTCTGTGGTGCTCATATTCCTGCAAGGTCTACAATTCGTTATTTGTTTAATAAATTCAGAATTAATTGTTTGGTACTGGACAAAAAATAAAAATAAGACATCACATATTGACTAAAGAAAAACTTAATGATATTGGTACATGATTGGAGCATTCAACAAGATCACTGATGCAACTAGCCCAGCAAGATGACATTTCAGTAACCTCAGCAAGAACACTACATAACTGCTGAATTTCTTTATGGATACAATTAACTTTGATAGCTATATCAATTTAATTATCGTCCCCCAATAAATTAACATCATTTAACTCCAGAGTTAACACAGAAAGAAAAATTGTAGGGTTACTTTCAACAGGACTCAGTAACAGAATAAATAACCTGTAACTCCATAGCCGCAATAAGCAACATGTATGGTGATAGAGTTATATCTGGAAAGAAATATAGAGAATTTCCCTAGCAGATATACAACATGTAAACCAGAGTGTGTTCTCGCATTGCAATGCATGTTCATGAGCATAACACTGTCCCCAAACTAGTAAGTAAAGCTCAAAGCCTACTTTGTTTCATTTTACTGCATTCACAATGGATTGGTTTGTGAAAAGACATGAAGCATGACAGCATGCTAGGCAGTCAAAATAAAAACAAATAAAAAAACTTCTATAAAACCTTAAAAACTTAAATGTAATACTTCATACTTATATCTAACATAAACATAGTATCCAACTTCCTTTATAACCATCAGTTACTGACATCAAGAAATAAATATACTACAAGTTTCTAAATCTGAAATGACAAAACATCTGTTTCCTGCTAGTGCAAGAGCCTAGAAGCAGTGCCTTCCCACCATGAATTTGTAAGTGACCATGTTACAGTACAAGAACAAAGAATTCAGCATGTCCTATATCTGTATCTCACTTTTATGACTATAAAACCTATGAGATGACGCTGCAGTCCAGACGTTTCAAAAGGTACCGCAGGACAGTCCTGCAGCATCTGTATGACAATTTCTTCTTCATCCTTCTTTACATCAAACATGTACTGAAACATCACACAACATAACAAATCAGCATGATAAATAAATTATCTTTTTAAAACAACATGAGCAATGCAACAACAAACAATCAGTGTTTCTGCATGCCTGCGATCAGACACTACTTTCTCTGTCAACCATCTAAACAAATAGACTCATACATGATGAAGACACTACAAGTGCCCATGATGCTGAGGCCATAGGCTCCTTGAATGTTTTAAACAAATACTCTCTGTGTGAAAACAAAGTGTTCACTAGGTCTAAGGATTAGGACATGGGAAACAGAAAGGCATCACATACATGTTTACCAATATAAATCCTATAAAAAATCCTCATGCATACATATTTTAATCAATGTAACATGTTTCTTAGGTATTCTGAATTCAATTAATGTGTTATACAGTTCTTTTCTTATAAAATGAATCACAGGCATTTTGAAATATATAAACAGCTGAATTTCTGATCCAGTATGTTTTCATAAATGAGTATTTTTTTATATCCGTCAAATGCAAAACATTTTATTAACTGCTGACCTATTCCAAAGAAATTCCAAAAAAATCACTAATAATTCCATTACATGAATGGTGCCAAGAGAATATTTTACACAAAACTGCTAGGAGATACTCTTTGGAATTACTGCACTCAGTATTTCCTATGCTTTATAAATATAAACAACTGATTACAATGTACTGATGACCATAACTACTCGGTGAACTTCATAACAGAGAGGATAAATCTGGCAGCAAGATTATTTTGTGGAGTAATTATATAGTAGTTTTGGTTTTAGAGAGTAACTGTTTCATAAGAGGTGAGAAATGTATACAAACACCATACAAAATCTTCCCAAAACACACAAATATCAGAGATTATGGCCCCATACATTTATCTTTAATTGTATGACAGAAATAATAAGCAGTATTTTAATATCAAAGGTCATAAACATAATACTGTAATGGCAATTTTAACACAGTATATGCTTCTAGATCTGAACCATCATTATGTTATTGCACAAACAACTTCTTTGAAAAATATCTAGTCTTTCAGGAGGGCCAAATAACATGCAATTTTTCCCAGTATTTTTCATTATATTTATGCACATTCTTCATGCTATCTCAGAACATCCTCAACAACCTACAACACAGTACGGACCATTCTAAGGCTGGGCCCACACGACCGTACAAAGTACGTCCATAGTAACGCACATCGTGACGTCCATCATAGAATTATGATTTATAAGTACAGACAACACTATTTTTTTTTCTAAATCCTTTCAAGCTGCCACGGTAATTGGCACTCGTGAGGTGTCCTCACCTACATCCGTTGCAACGGACGTACTTTGTACGGTCGTGTGGCCCCAGCCTAAGCAACCATCTGTCATGCACTCACTGTCACGACAACGCATCTTGATGCACGTCAGGTTTCTACAATTTCCTGTGAACATGTCTGTATTTTGGAATGGTGCACTGTGTAGTCTAGTAAATGCTGACTAATGTTTCAGAGGAGCTTACTGCCTCCATCTTCAGGGCCCTGAATATGGAGGCAGTAAGCTCCCCTGAAATACTGTTCTATATCTACCACATTACATAGCATAACTTCCATGAACACAGCCGTCTTCATACTCATCACCGTGAGAAACTGAAATCTCATCTACAATTTCTTTAATTACTGTCACCATCCGTCTTTTAATTTTGGGTTGACATGTTCTAAGTACCACAGACACTTAATAGTTCAGTCCATCTGAATAGCATGTAAGGGCACCAGTATTGAAATAAAACCAAAGCCAAGCCACACTTTTCTGAGATACACGGGCAGTATAATGAGTGTTGTTCACACATTACCAGGTTAGTGAGAAATTACTTGCAGAGCTATATACTAATAACTGTGATCATATTGACAGTTAATATGTAACTGGTAACGATAATAACAACAGTAACAATGTTTTACACAGTAGCAGCAGATCATGTTGAAAAACCACATTTGACACAGCGGCAAGAAAATATGAGTAATATTTCAGTAATGGTAATAACACACAGGATATAGTGTAAACAGTGCAAACAGTGTTCTCAGAACATAGCTTTATAACTAAGTCTTTAAATTATTGAAGTATCAATTTATAGTTATGACTTCATTTTTTAAAATGTTGTTTTCCTTAAAAAAGTAACTAAAAGCAAGAATTTAAATGAGCAACCACGCAGCTGGTAATCATTGTGTTACAGTAGCCATTAAATTTTATTAGTGTTTGTTTAATGAATAACATTTACTATACAAAAAATAGTAATGGTCTTATACTTCCAACTGAAGTACACAATTCCATCTCTTTACCATAAATAAATGGTACATTTTCTCAATAGAAATAGGATCTACAGGAAACAATTCAAAATGAAATGTATGTATACCTGTGGGTTCCTCAGATATGTATATGTAAATGTGGGACCACCACCACTTCTGTCCTGTGAGGTTCCTTTTGCCCCTACACTCCATTCCCCCTTTATAACCATTTCACACCATGTTTTTGAGACTGTGAATATGTTGGTATTAAACAGTCTGCAGATGATAAGCTCATTGAAGTTACTCACAAAGTCTTCCAGAGGCATCCTAAAACAACAAATTCCAAGTGTCAGAGATTAATTTTGAAACACAATGTCTGACTTTGCTTGTTCCACTCATAATATCAAATACATGGAAACATTATTCAGATATTACATAGTGTTGTTTTGCCTTGTGACTCAGTACTTTTCATTAAATGTGAAGGACATAAATGTGGTATAAGCTCCATAAAACAAACAGTAATTTACCAAAATGTTCATAAAACATTTCAATATATAGGATTAAAATATGTCCACTTCCTCAAATTGAATTTGAAGAGTCTGTATATCTAACAATGAAAATGGAAGTGCAATACAAACTACAGCCAATGGTAACATTTTTGGAAGTTTTTGAAGAACTCACCTATGTACTTTCATGTAACATATGAGTCTTTTTTATTTCATAACAAGGTAAAAAGATATCAACAGCATACAGACAACTCACTAAACAGAGAAAGCTCTAGGAATTACAGAATTTCTCCCAGTCCATGTACATATTTCCAATAAGGTACCCATGTTTAAGATAAGCTACAATACAAAATTATTATAAAATACTGAAAAACTTGGGGATTATTTTCTATAAGTAACACACTAACTGACTAACCACTCACTACATACATCAGAGTCCTTCTTGAGAAATCAAGTCACTCAGCTAGTGTGATGCTGATACACTAATTTTGTCAAATGTTCCAAAAAATCTGAAGTACATACATAATCCTCCATAACTTCCTTCGGTCGTTATGAGCAAACACAATTCTGACTAAATTTAGCAGTCGAATTCGTAACCTATTTTAAAGCCGTCACTCGTAATAAACCGTCAAATTTTATTTATGTCGATTACATGCATCTAAGAAAGTATTTAGTCGTCTTATAAAAACTACAGTACAATTAATTCACTGTGCAATAATTGTATCAGGAAAATAAATACAAAATAGTAAAATGTGTACTGAAAAGGCGTAGAATATTCTCAAATAACATCGCGATAAACCTGTCTCCGAAATTAGATTCAAAATTAATACTTTCCTAACCTCAATCACAAAATAATTACTACATTTCGACGCTCAGTTCAACATAGGCATTCGTTACAGAAGAATTTTGCTGATAAAATTAAAATAATTGATGACACAAATGAATTCAGTGACTCAAGATGTGAGTACGAAAAGACGGGAATACTGTTTCGCCTTTCCTTATGCAGAAAAGATTAAACATTCGAAATTACATTAAACGTTTCTTTAGAGTTCCATTTTACGAGGCGCGTCCACAAAGTAAGTTTCTCACTCGTCCCACAGCTAGCAAACCTTATATTGTGCGAAGCGACTGTGCGTACGTGATAGAGCAATGACGTAGCATGGCGCATGCACTAACGGTACTTCCCGCGTTCTCACAGTAGCATCGTTGCAGCTGTTGAAGATGGAGGTTCTTATTCCAGCTCCCGCCGACTGTGAAGTGCGGTCAGTGATAACGCTAGGCCGCACACGGCTCGACGGACAGCAAGTCTCCTGCCGGAGTTCAGCTGGGAGGTGTTTAATCATCGACCCTACAGCCCGGACCTCGCTCCCAGTCATTTCCATCTTTTCCTACACCTCAAGAAATTCCTGTCCGGTCAGCGTCAGCGTTTTGAGAATGACAGAGAGGCGGAGATGGTTGTCACACAGTGGTTCCAATCCCAGGCGGGCGACTTCTACGACACAGGTATTCAAAAGTTGGTCCCACGGTATGACAAATGTCTCAATTCCGGTGGCGAATATGTTGAAAAATAGCTGGACACTTGCTGTATCTGTTGCAATAAATATTTCCATGAAATTGTGTTTTGTTTCTGTAAACGGCCCCAGGGAAACTTACTTTTGGGACGCGCCTCGTAACACCCTGCATTTCATGGAACCCATATACCCATTTCTGTGTTCAAAAGAGCCCATCACTGGTTCCTATAGTCAAAGAGCTGAATCCAATTCACATCCTCTGACCACAGTATTTTAATACCCATTTTAATATCATCTTCCTACTTATGCCTATGTCTTTCAAGTGGTATCATCCCTTCTGTCTTTCCAAAGAAAGTTTTATACACATTTCTCATCCCATCCATGCATGTTACATGTTCCAACCACCTCAACCTCCTAATAAAACTTTGTGAAAAATACAAATTGTGGAGCTCCTCATACAATTTTCTCCAGACTCTCATCACTCCATCACTCTTTTGTCCAAAATATTCTCCTCAGCACTCTTCTCAAGCACTTTCAATCCATATTTTTCTCTTAACATAAGAAATTTAGTTTAAAACCAATACAAAACAACAGGTAAAATTATATTTTTTAATCCTGTTGTCCTTGTTGGTATAGTGGTAGCGTGCTTGCCACCAGACCCAAGGTTTATAGGTTCAAACCCAGCCGAGGACGATGGAATTTTAAGGGTGATAAAAATCTGTAGCACAACACCCTTTGGGGGGGGGGGGGATCAAGCCGTCAGTCCCATGCTGTTCATGGCACGTAAAGGATTCTGATAAGCAAGAAAGAGATGCTTGATAAGCAAAATTCAGTGGCCATGTTTCTCACCCGTCTCTCCTGCTTCACTACCAGATGATTCTGGCAGTCAAATTAGGTTCAAATAGAAACTGTGCAGAGACAGAAGGCTTGCTATCTACTGCTCTAAAGCACTAAAAAACTAACATATGTCAAGTTCACTTAATCAACTGTCCATGGAACAGGCTTTAGCCTAATCCCTGAAGAGAAGAAGAAAACATTTTAATCCTTATGTTTGAGACAAAGACAAAATATTCTGAAGAACTGCGTTATAGCAAGCACTCCTTGAATTCAATCTTGTCTTAATTTCTTTGTGCACTGCATAAGGATTATGTTTTATGTTTTGAGTTTAATCTTCAATGCCTCTTTGTATCCAAATCCTAACTCTCTGTGAAAATTCTAAGAGTGTAATAATTCTATAACAACATTCTACGATAAAATAAACCAAGGAAGAGAATCCAAAACCATTTTCACATAAAGTCTAATACAGTAACAAACATTACATCAAAGTTATAAAGTTAAGTGACATTAAGAAATTTACCAAAATTCTCCTTCATGATCCAAAGTAAGTCCTAGTCTCTCTCTCTCTGTATCTTTGATTCTGGACCACTCTGGATTTTTGGAAAGAAGGCGAGTGAGCTGAGGAGTGGAGTATGCATAATCATTCTGCTCAGCACTGCTGCTGAAACAGAAATCATGATAAAAGTTTATGTCAGCAAACAAAGATTTCAGAACTATGATGATGTACAGTCTGGTCTATATGGCACCAAAACCCAATGGACATCATCATCCCCACCACTATAAAAACCTCAAATATCTCATTTCAGAACTATTTTATAATCTCTTTACGCAGAAATATTAGTGTCATGAGACAGAAACGCCCTACAAGTTAGGAGTGGAGCACAAAAAAAGAAAATATGGATACTGGTAATCCTATGGGATTTAGAGACTAACCTAATATTCCACTAGTTCTTATAAATACTTTATTTGAAATGAGAATTTAAATAAAAATATGGCTGCCTTCATACCACCATGAAAACCTGAAATCTCATAATTAAAATAAGAATACTAAATGCATATATTACTTGAAAAATTAAGAATTTTTATATTAATGCATATTTTTATTTAATTTTAATATAACTAACTATGAAGAAGAATTGAGGCTTGTCACAAGAATATATCATAATATGTCACCAGATGATGAAGATTAGTAACCACATATAGTAAACTCAAACTCAAAGTCACATGTAGTATGCAGAATTATAAGCAACACCGTAACAAGCTTGGAAGTCTGTTACAATTTCTGTCATCTTATTTGTAATTATATTATTTTATATGAGGAAGAAATGCCAGCTATCCTGTGTCCACAAACCTTTTGGATACAGCACTGGAAATGCGGCCATCAACACAAGGATCTCGAAGTCTAACCATGGGAAATGTTTCCCGGCCCCTAAAACAAATTTAATTTCTCATGATAATAAACAATTTACAAATCAGTGCTCATTTGGTATTGCATTAGTGAAATAAATGCATTAATTTCACAATGCAGCACAACACGTATCTGAAGCCTGATAGTTGACTCTTTGCATGTAATATTAATCCTCAAGATTTCAAACGTCAGCACAAGTTAAAATTGACTTCATTGAGCAGAATAGGTTCTCAGTTGGTCAACAAATTCCATCTTTTCTGGAAACTGAAAGTTCATTAATAGGTTTAATTTATTCCAGACACAACTGTATTACTATAAAAGATATTTAATATAGGTATCACTCTTATGAACAAGGTAATTAACCTACTGATAAATTTGATCAACAATATAAACTGTTATTAATTTAACTTATAAACCGTACACTGTTAGTACACATGCACTAAAACTTACTGAAACAGTTTTCGTAATGATGTCTCCCACATTTTAACTTTCTTCACAGACGTTATGGCATAAGCACGACCTTCGCATAATCCCACTTCAGTCCTTTTTCCCATATGACTAGAGCCGGAGATCTATGAAACAACAATTTATCCACCCATATTTAACACCTTAGAAATTCCAATGATGACAAACCAGGTCCAACATTTCCATGTAAATACAAACAAGAATAGAAAGATTTCATGCTTTTATGATAATTAAATATTAATAAAATTCCTATTTCTGAGTGACAGCACTATGCAGAAGAAGTCTGTATTGCTGATACTTCAAAAAGAATTACCATTTCCATATTTAAGGCAAAATGACTACGTAATTGTCTCACTTTCCAGTGAACGTCACTCAAAGAATTAAACATATCATTAACCTGTGGACCTGTATTATAGGCATCAGCAGGGATTACTGGATAGCAAATTTGCCTTGAAGCTTAAGACAGTATCTCCAAAATGTTGGAAATAAGTCCTTCAGCTGCAAGACATCTAACTAAATAACTAACTCAATGGAGCAGAGTCCTTCTCAAGAAGCACTCATTCAGCTACTCAAAAAGTGTTGTACTTTTCTATGGAACCCAAGGTTCATTACCATGTCTGCAACAGCCCACCACTAGTCCCCGCCCTCAGCCATATAAATCCAACCAACACTTTCCCACCTTATTTAAAATCCATTAAAATATCATCTTCCAATCAATGCCTAGGTATTCCTAGGGGTCTCTTCCTTCAGGCTTTCCAACAAAAATTCTTACCCCCAAAATATCCTAAATGGTTTTTCCTCATGTTCATTGTGACCACAAAGTAAGACTTCTATTTCATGCATTATGCCATGGCAGTCAGTAAAATGTACTACTGTTAATTGTTTGCACCACAAACAAAAAACAGTCTTGGCAACATCATAAACACTTCACTGTTCTGGAACATTTTTGTGTTTTGATATGACAAAGATCACTCTTCACTTTCTACACACTCCTTCCTTAAAATGAATACTTATAACATTTCTTAATGTGTTGTGAAATATTTACTTTATTCATTTACTCAGAAATTTACCAAAGAAAAGGGTTAAATGCTAATTTAAAGCATTGTTCTACATTCTTAACATAATTTTATTCTACTTTCACTTACATCTTTCCAAACTGAATGCCCCCTCTCCCCACAAATATACTGTACACTCAAATTTTGAAAGGTTAAACTGTAGAGAAAACGTTTGTACATAACAGATGTACATAATTTACTAAGTAAATATAGTAAACAAGTATCAATATCTGAAATTTTTCACTGCTGTCACAAAAAGAATTAAATCCATTAGTTTCAATTTATAACACTTTCAGCAGCAGTCTCCAGTAAAATACCTAACAGAACTTAATGTGAATTTTATATGTTTTCACTTTTTGGGGGGAATTATATGCAGGAAAATACTGTGCAATATATTTGGGCAAATACAGTATATATTATGTACTCATACTGAATCACTACATTTGAATGTGGCTCCACTATCTCTGTTAGGTGTGGCCACTTTTACAAAACATCAATACAACTTGCAATGCCTAGCACAGTACATAACCTTATCAGTTCAGTAGATAATCATATCACATAGATAAGTCAGTGAATGGCATTAGTATGAAAAGAATAACAGTGCAGAGATCTGGTTGCATATTGATATTGTTACTACAATAATGTAATTAAAGCTATTTACATACAATGATAAGGAGAGTTTAATCAAAGTGCTATGGAAATTAAAAAGTCAGTTTTGGACACAAAACCACAAGAAATATTGGGATACACTTTGACAGCTAAACAACAGATCTGGGTATACTTTATAGTGGCAACTGGACTTAAAAGTGCAGTGTATGTATTTGACTTAGCTTCAGGAATTGCAGTTGTGAATGAACACTACAAGGCAGGAGACAATGCTTGGGCCACACTTACTCTTCTTCTTATGTACTTCCCATCACTTGTCTTTTTCATTGTTATTATATCAAGACCAGACTTGTGGGATAAGCAACATGAAATCTCTGGTACAGCAAAGTGGTTCAGCTTCCGTGCTGCACAATTCCTTGCCTACCCAATCTGGGTTATGTACAGGTAATGTCTTTTCTTATAGCACTTTATCTTGAAATAAATGTAGCAGACCATAACCTCTTACATGAAAAGAAAGCATCTTTTTGTATGTATACCTTCACATAAACTATGATCTATCTGTCTATCTGTGTGTTGGGGGGACAGAAACTTGTACTGTGAACCTTGTAATAATTCTAAACAAAGTTCACTGTGATTTCTGATTTCCCATGTCATTTCTGTATTATAGTCTTGGATGAGTTTTTTAAGGGCATTTAGCTTCACTAAAAACAAAGGCAGCTCTTCCAAACTGACTGTATTAATAGGTTCCACATTACAAAAAGATAGTTCATTTAATACCACTTCTGCTCTATCTGTGACTTACTGATAAGTGTTGTCATAAAGAAACCTCTACTTTTATATCATGATACTTTAATGTAACTATTTGTGGATTTTTATTAATGGGTATATAAATATAAGTTTGATACCACAGTGAACTGAGCAAGTCTTAACATTTGAACTCAGAAACAAACGGTTTTTAATGTAAATGGAAAAAAAAACTTTCATTCCCTAGGTACGCTAAACAGTTATTCTGGTCAGTTGAAGCTCTGACAAATGAGAAAGGGCGTGAAGAAGCCCTTCTGGCAGTTACTCAGCCAAGCCAGACAGAATTGTATCTGTTCTTACAACCATTCCTACAGTCAATTCCACAAGCCTTCCTGCAACTATACATCATGCTTGCTCATTATCAACTAGACAAACAAATAAGTAAGTACAATTCCACATGCATGCTTGTAAAAACTGGAATATATATATGAACATAGTAGTCTGCAAAAAACCAACAGATGTGTAGCCTAAATACCATGAAAAGTTTGCAACTCATACAGGACAGGGAATAAACAGTGTTTTTCACCAGTCAACTCAGTACATGATACACTTAAATGCATCAGAGACTAATTCACAGTTAGTGTTTGCTAGTGTTCTGTGATTCCTTTCATGCCTAAATATATAGCTGGAAATTCCTTCTTAACAAGGTGAAAGGTAACAAATTCAAATCTTGGAAGATGCATTAGCTATCCTTACTCTTTAAGATATAATATGTCTTTCACATATTACAAAGAATATCAACTGCTGGAATTTGTAGTATAAAATTGTCATGGGATAAATAAATACGAATGAAATGTGGCAGGAAGCAGTCATGTTCTGCTTCCAATTTTGGACATATTTCTGAGCCAGTTTTATCTCCTTACTATCTTCACAAAATGTCTCCCTAAGATTCACCTTACTGTTACCCTCCCGTCTCTTTCTCAGGCTTCTAAGTGGGCGCTTTCCCTATAAAAATTCTACATACATTATAACATACAAAACTGTTCTTTTGTACTTTGTCCATCTTCTAAATTATAAAGTTACAAAACTATGTTTCAAAAACCAGATTTTGCTTCCATCTTCAGGTAATAAAGGGGGAAAGAGGACAGAAAGTCTATATGATAGGCCCCCTGATTGAGCTGTCCAGGTCTGAGCAGTCAGTACCTTCAATGTATGTTCACTGATGATACTGTGATCATTTAATATAACTGCAAATTAACATGATCATCAAATTCTGTCTGGCAGAGCAGTTTGGTTTATTTTTGCACTATGCAAAATAGGCAAAAAATACATTTCATATAATGACTTAAACATTTTCTGAATTTCCCAACAAAGATATGTGTATTTTGTGACTTCGAAATTTCAGAAAATGTTAAAATAAAACATGTCTTTATTTGGTCATTAAAATGTAAAATGAGATCTTGAAAATATAACTGATTCAAGTTATGGACTACTCAAAACAATACTGATTCATTCAATCATTCATACATGCATTGTTTTACTGAAGCCTGTAATTGTTAGATGTGTCAGAACATAAAATTATAGCTATTTATACTATATGGGTCTTTACTTTCCCAGTACGTACTTGTCAATTACTGAACATATGTTTGATTTCATATTTTTAATATTTATCATTCTTTTCATATCAGGTCAGATGCAGGTGTTCTGTATAACAACCTCTCTCATGATAGTGGCTCATAAAACAGGGTCTTTCTTGTGGTTTGAGAGCCAGAAAATTATACAAAGGAAGGAGCCATGGAGTCTAAAAGTAGCTGAAGAACAACAAACTCAACCATCAAGTAAAGAAACAGTTCCAATTAAACTAAAGACCATTGCACAAGACAGCGAGTTGTTAATGCCTTTCCTTCAACCTCATCAACTACCAAGCACTGTACCCATTGGCCTCATGAACAGCTCCATGTCTGTTGAAGAGCAAAGCACTGACAACAAGCCCACAGGCACTGAAAATATCATATCACTACCAGCATATTCAGCACCCCCAAAACCCACAAATCTAGAAGAAATAAAAGTAGCGAAAGTGAGTGATAATGGATCACTTCCTGAGAGCAATGCTCCATCTCATCCAGATTCAACCAATATTGGCTTACCTACACGTAAAATAAAAACGCAAATAAAAGGAATGGAAGAGGAAGATGCCCTTGCAAAGAGTGTAGCTTTCCTCTGGTGGTTCTTTTTTCTCTTTTCTCGCATACTGTCTTTAGCAGCTTGTGCAAACTTTCAGCCATTTGCATTGCTTGGACTACTTGTAGCACATTATACCATCATAACAGGTCACCTGCTACACCGGTCAGGTTTTCCCAGCATTTATAAAGTATTTATCCAATTATGCCTTGGTTGCATGTTCATTTTTTGTTTCATTGAATTCAGATATAAACTGAAAAATGTGACAGTGTTTTATATATGTTATTTTTCATTAATGCTGGTGGAGAACATTGGTATGTCTCTTTCATGGTATTTATCAGATGAGTTGGATAGTTTCTGGTACAAATTTGTATTTACCATCATATTTGGTAGCTTTTTTGTTAGTGTCTTGTCAATGGCCCTATATTTCAGTATTCTGAAACCAAAAGTAAAAGTGGTAAATGTTGAAGAATATTCCTATCCATAGTCAATGAAAAATTCTGTTAATACTGTAAGATGCTGCATGTATATGCCAAAAATTAATTCATAATAATAAATACTATCAATGTTACAATACTAAAATATTTTGTAGTAACTCAGAATCATTAATTAACACAACATCAATCAATCAATAAATAAAACTTCAGAACATCACCATAAAACATACTTAAGCTGCACCATAAAAGTTATCTGAAAGGTGTAGCAATTGGGTGAGTCAAAAGACTATAGTTTTCAATTTCAGTCACTAGAAACACTTGAAGGTCATGTGGTATATGATTCAACTCCAATAACTTTTGAACATATTGGCAAATCATAAGGAAACTCTATAGGAAAGACATAAAATCAGAGGTTTTTCCAGCATCACATTTTTTAAATCGCCATCTTCAGCAATTCCAATGTGGAAATTGCAAATTTGATTTGCATGAAAATTTTATATTGCCAATAGTAAAACTATTCAAAGCAGAATAGTAGAAGAGTTAACATAAAGCATTACACTTCTATTAAAATAAATTCCTTTTTAAATAATAACTATTCAAAATATACCCTTTTTTCCAATTTAATGATGACATCAAACTACTGCAGCTAATTATCATATATGTATAAAATTTTCATGCAAATCAAATTTGCAACTTCTGTATGTGTTAAAAAGTACTAATTTGGTGAAGTTGAGAATCTTTTAGATTATACTGGGACATACACAATTTAAAAATTGCAGATGAATCATGTTTAGTGTTAAAAGTGATATCTTAGATGTGTGGTAACCATTTCTTGTTTAGTGTGCTGTTAATAGAGTACTACAATTATGTATCATACAATTAAATTTCAAATTCATTAGTGATAAACATGGTAAATTTTGAAATTGTCTTCAGTTCTTTGGGCTTCTATAGGATGCCAATATGTGTTATAATGAAACTAAGAAAGCAGGAAACTACATGTATCTCAATTTTCACTTCAATTACACAAGTAAAACATTTACCAATTCAACACAAAGAATTGTTGTTGTTTTCATTTATTTCTCTCTCCCTTTCTCTTCCTTCCTTCCTTCTTTCTTTCTTTCTGTCCACTACTCTTTCATTTATGTTTTCCTTATTAGTCCACTGACAGGCTTAATTCTACCCAATTATCATGGAAACGTTCATTCTCAGATAAACTCCAGGAAACAAAGTGCAAAAATAACATTTCACCCCACTGTTACAATGCAAACTAGAATGACCTAACATTTACATAATTATGTAAATTATCCTTTATTGGTTATATGTCGAGGCTTATGCACAGTCCAACTGGCTGTGTCTGTTGCAGAAGCATACAGGTAATCCATTTGATCCAGAAGTTAAAATCCTGCAGGCAGCCCCTGTTATGGAATTTAAATCCCCTATTTGCATATGATAAAGGTTAAGCATACTTTGCATACGTACACATACATAAAATATTTTGATGATATGCCACTGAAGGACACCCAAGAGCCAGATTTTCATTTGCCATTTCACGTAATGCCACCTAGTAACAACTGAAGCCACTTCATTCACTGTTTTATGTGCCACTTTCATGATTACTATAATTAGATTCTATTTCTGAAAGATTTTCATCCACACAATCCAAAAAACTGACATAATATTGTCATCAACAGTCACTATATACTGTGTCATACTGCTTACTATGAGAATGATGGAAGTTGACATTTTTATTAAGTGTTCTATTCCTAACAAAGATTGCGATCAGAATATTTCCATTTTAAAGTTCACTAAACCAATATTTAGACTACAGTACATGTAGAGATTTGTGTGCATGTGACATCTAGTTCATATATAACAAACTATCTGAAAGAAATAGCACTACTTTTTAATTCTGAAACACTGTTGCCAGTACAAGGTTTGCTTGGGAAGAGTTAACAAATTCCAAATAATAATAATAAAAAAATTGTTGTTACATTGAACCTTTTTTAAACAAGGACAGGCCAATACTGCATTACACTAAGATGATGATGATGCAGTCAGAACTTATAAGTTATGATATCTGGACTTCAGTAGTACATAATTTTTTTCTTTCTTTAATTGTCTTGCCTAGTGTTTGTTAAAAAATATAAAAGTATGTGACTTACAGTAATAACTGAACACATTACAGAATGATCTCTGATTTCTTCCACAAGCTTTTCAAATAATATGGAACATTTGGCTTCTTGTTCACTGTAATCATTTGCCCTGAGATCCAAAGTTTCACTCACACCACCTGTGAAATCCACTAGAGCATCTGCAAGATGGCCATCTGCAAGTTTTTCATATGAACCATGCAGTCTGTAGACAAAATATGAATACCATAATTAAAATGTACACATTCCAGATAATTTTATAGAATGAAGGTTGTCCAAACAAAACACTGTTAGAAAATATGGCCAGTTGCAGGTGAATACATGCATGGCACTAACAGTCAACCACAAGCTGTCCAATAAAACATCTGTTAGAACAAGTGAGAACAGTATGACATGGTTAAATGATGGTGATCCAAATGCAGAATCTGTCCAAACAGGACCAATGAGCCATCACTCGGTTCCTTGCTGTTGAGGGCTATCAGCCAGCTAAAATTCATGGCAGAATGCATGCTGTCACAGAAATGTGGGCGTCTCAAAGGCAATGGTAATGGAGTGGCATCAGTAGTTCTGTTCAGGGCAGCAGGGAAGCAACGATGCATAGTCATGTCATATATGATGTCCATTTGTTCAGCTCCCTCAAGAAAGCAGATCATAAATTTTGGTCAGACAAAGATGTTAAGACTACAGTGGTGCAGTAGCTTCAGCAGCAGCCCAAGACATTTCTTGCAAAGTGGATCCACTGGCTGCTGCATCAGTGAGATGCCTGCCTCAGTGGCCATAAGATTTATTTTTAACAGCCTCTACTTCCAGTGAAGTGTTACTTATTATGGTTTTGTAAAGAACTCATTATGAACTAACTAACTAGATGGCTTACCGAACCCAAAGGTTCATCACTGAAGTAACCAAAGCCCTCAACCAGATTCTGTTCTGGGCCAACAAATTCCAGTCTCCTTCAACTCTTATCTCCCATAGATCCCACCTGACATTATTCTCCCATCTACGTCTAGGTCTCCCCAGCGGTTTCTTCCCCTCAGGCTTCCTGACCAATACCCAGTGCACACCTCTTGTCCCATCCATGTGCGCTACATGTCCCGCCCATCTCATTCTTCTCAACTTAATCACCCTGACAATATTCATAATCTGTTTAAAACCATATATTTTTTGAGATTATATGAATTAATTTACCCTTTTTGCCACTGATGATGACCTCTTGAGGCGGAAATGTGTTTGGCACTAGTGTAAACAGTTTGTTTGTATGCTTATTTTTATATTCTAATACACTACATGGTATGCAAAGTTTTTTGAAAACTGTATGTTCTTCACAGCATATAGCATAAATTTCTGGCCTTATTTTTGACAAGTGCAAATGAACCCTGTCTATGCACAGTTAAGTGATATCTTTCTTTCTTGTAAAACAAAGGGCAGTCAGAAAATGAGAAAAGTAATAAACTATGTAAGATTTGAGGTTTTCATCGCCCTGATGACGGAGGCAGTATGGCCTCTGAAACGTTGGCTAACATCAACCAGACTACACAGCGCAACAACCCAGAAGACAGGAATCTTAATAAACTATGCACACAGCAATAACTTTAAGCCTTTTATTCTGATTAGGAGTGATGGTGGTTACTTGTGATAAGTAGCAAACAGAATTTCACATTTCTTTCCTAGAGCTGTTATGTCCTTGTGAAGTATGTTTGTCTGCTTTCTTAATGCACACCCATTACTCTTACAATCCATGTAAGAAATTAAAGTCTTATGCGTATCTGCACAACATGACAGCGAATATTTTTATTATTTGTAAAACTTGCAATAAATGTCTTTGATTAGTAGTGTTTTGGTACATTTTCCTGTAGCAGAAGTTCACATAGCAAAGGTGTTAATATATCTGTTACCTAATTTTATTATTATTATTGCTATTAATTATATTCTTACACACAATTCATCACAATTTTATTGACTACAGACATAATTCACACATTCTTTTCAGCACTCACCTGCACACAAGAAAACCAGTTTAAAAACTAATGTCAAAAAAAAGGACCTAACACATCATTAGCAAGGAAAGAGCTCCTTCCTTTCTATACTATCCAATTTGCATATTAAAAACTAATTTTGAGGTCAAATGTGTGGATGTGTATCATAATATGCTGGCTCACACAATGTGTTGACAAGACCAGTGGTGATTCTCTGGCAGGTCATAATGGATCGCCAATCCAGAATTATTTTGGAACGGGATTTAATAAAAATTTACTGCTACATCAATAATTTACATAAACATTAAAACAAATAATGATAAGGAAGTGTTCACACTGGAGAAATTCAATGGCAACTGAACACAACTTCATTGTAACTGTTGATGCCCTTTGCATGACACAGACAATAAGACTTCTCGGTTCACGTTGGTTCGATCATAATTCGACTTTGGCACAATCTGCCATTGCTAGCAACTGAGACAGTGCTAGTCAGTGACTACAGTTGACAGCTGCTTGTTTACATGTGGCCATTTCATCTGCTTCAGTATGAAGGTGTCCTTTCAGATACAGATGGCCGGAATGCCACGAACTGTCAGACAAGGTCTGAAGGCCATTATCAAAAGAAGACTATTTGGTCCATTGTCTGAAGCCTGATCTCTGCAGGTAAAGGACTACAGCCTGACTGTGTGTGTATGGTATGAAACGACTTTGTGTCAAGTCTCATCAAAAACCTGTATGGAAATGGGCACCTTGAAAGATATCCAGAATTTAATTTACTAATAAATTCAGCAACCATGAGTTGCTTCAGTACGAACTATCAGGTAATTTCAACTCGACTGCAACTAATGTTTTGGTTGAGTTGCCATTCATAGCTGCTCCAGTGTGAACACAACCTAATGGAGGTAGTGGTGAAAGGATAATCAAAGATTTTGTGGACACTATGTCATGGTTCTTGAAGTCTGACACACCCTGTTCAAGCCAACACAGATGTACTTTTAGAATACCACCAATGGTTAAGACTCCACGAAATCATGCAACAGTTAAAACGGTTATAAAAAACAGTAAAATAACCAATTTTAATAGTATTCAGAATCTCAATGTTTGCAGTATAACATGCAATTTAAGCTACAAGCACAAAATCCATTAACATTTTCTACATACTTGGCATATGCTTTTTCAACCAGTGGAATCCAAAATTCATTTTGTGCAGATGACTGTGTAAAGAGCAGTTCATTATCACAGACTGGAAGCATGTCATCAATTACTACATCCACCCACTGACCAAACCTCCAAAACCTGAAGTGGAAAATGCCAACATAATTGTTGTTTTCTGAATCCCATTCTTGTTGTCTGTATTCAGGAATTACCTGCAAAATAAAACCAAAAAATAAATTTCAAAGAAATGGTTATTAACAAACAAAAAGGATCACACAGTGAATAAATCATATGGCACTTTCTTACGAGGAATTCTAAAGCAAAATTTTACATTAGTATTACTGATCTCAAATACTATTTATATTCTCATACAAATTCCTTGAAACATGATAATAAAATAACTATGTGTCTACTGTAGGATTCACAGCTCCTGATATTTCAGGCTCGGTCACTTAAGCAGGTAAAGCCAGTCAGAATGATGCTGTGCTAACTAGTTAGAGAATTGCAACAACTTCCTTTGAGGGGCATAATGTAAATGTCACTTGCACTCAAAGTACCCATGATTCTGGCCAAGTAATACATTAGACATGAAGCCAGTAGATTTCTAAATGTGCTGAAACAAACCCATGTAACTTGTAACAAGAAACAGCACAGATACTGTCATCAATAAAACCAGAAATCAACAGAAAAAGTCACAAAATATAATAATTTTTGCAATATATAAAACTGCCTATTCTGTTTTACATCTGCTTCATACACCACATACATTTTTCTGTGATCTTCATCATCAGAAAGATCCTTCAATTAAAAAGAAAAAAACTTGCCAATAATTTGTAAGAGTAATATCTTAAAACATGCTCATGGAGTCATAACTCACAATAATCAACTTAATACAGAACAAGTTCTGGTAAGAACCTATGACACATACGTTACTTTAAATACATAAACGCATATGGTGAAGCTAGGAATAAAAATAAATTAATAAATACATTATATAATTATTTTCATCTGAGTATTATTTCCATAGTGCAGATTCTGACTGTGTTCAATTTTTCAAGTACAATTTCAAATTTTTACACTGTCACCAAATTTGCAATTATTTGTATGTACACACCATTTCATATAGAATTTGTGGGTACATTCATGATCAAGCTACAAAGATGTTTACATGCTTCAATCCAATAATCCATTAGTAACTACAAATAAATGTAAAACCTAGCACAGATTCCGCACAACCATCAGGTTGTTAAATTGTAAAATAATTTGAAGACACATACCTTACAAAATTTCTGGGCCAAATACCCATTAACTGTAGCATGCACCTCATAACAATGCATAACTGTCATGTTAGTATCATCGATAGGCCATTAAATGCAGAGGCTGGATGGCCTATAGTGGCAAGATTTTCATAGCAAGTTTCACAAAAATCTGTTGCTTGGGAAGTTAATGGGTAATAACATATATTTCCTTAATAAAAGTATAGAAAATAGTTAAAAATAACTTTCACCACTTACTTGACAGTATACAACATTGAAATTATAAATAAAAAGAAATGTAATTGTTATTGCATATTTACTAACTTTGCGATACAGCTCACCAACTGCAGCTAGTACTGACAAAGCAGATACAATCCAGTTACTGCTCATGTGTCCTGCAACCACAGATTTAGAGTTAACTCCAGCATAGAGACATGGAGATGAGCATATTTCCTGGAAAAGAAACAAAGAGTGCAATTAATTATTTAGTCTTCATCAGTATCTTCTCCTAATGCCAAAATAATAATTAAACAAGGTCAAAATTATAAAGTAACAATAAACATAAATTATATATTCTTAGGTTACTGAACACAGCTGCTTCAATTGCACAAGATATATATTACTGAATGAGACAGGATGATAATCGTGAAAAATAAGAATTTGGAAGGCAATCATAACACATTCCAAGGTACTTTCCAGCATTAAGGAAAATCATAAAAGGACCTTCACAAGCACTTGTAGATATCTGAAGTGGGTGCTTCTCAAATAAACAAACTATTAAAGCACTCATTATTCAAAGGGAGCACTTTCACACTAAAAAAACAGAACTCTTTCCAGTTGTGGGTAAGATCTGATGTGGACACATAAGAACAAACATGCCATGCATGGAAACAAACCACACACTTATCACAGTGAAGATCTTGTAAAATTATCTGTTTACTTACACGCTACTCTCTACATTCTGACCAATGACTGATTGAATGTTTGAAGAGCCACTCAGTAAGGGATTTGGAATTTGTAGGCAAGATCTGTTACATTTAAACCCCTTGAGCTGGGACAGCTCAGTCAATGCCAAATGACCAAATTTGACTCCCAGCACAAGCTGGCAGGTTTATTTCTCCTGGCCAGATTGACTTCAGACTCAACTCTGATTTCTATCCAAAGAGCATTAAAGGCCCTTTTACCAGAAATAAAACAGCAGGTACATGAAGCTCGACTGAGCAAAGAGGTTGAGAATACATAAAGCTTTATCTCTTACTCCACCACAGCTTTTGGTCAGTGCAAAAGAAATGGAAAAGTTGATTTCCTCCTGTACACCACAAATCCAGCATGTTTGATATTACTGTAATTAGAGGGATCCAAAGAAGTAGAAAACAATGGAGATACATCACATCAAATAAATATATTTATATTGCATTAACTTCTACACATTTTGACCAAAACTTCTTAATTATTTAGTGGAGACTTGAATGAAATACATTCTTAAAAATGAAAGTCACAGCTAAGTGGTTAGTACTTCTAATTTGTATTCAGAAAATTCAGGGTTAAAACTCCAACCCAGAAACTGGCTATCCTCACTGAGGCTTTTTGCGGTCTTCCTTAGTCCTTCCAGATAAACACTAAGACAGTACCCCAAATTAGGACATGACCTCTTCCTTCCATATCATTCCTGATTCATTACTCATTAATCATCCTATCATTCAATACCATATAGTTTGACCTACTAACAGCATCATTAAATAAACCACAAAATAATAAAATAAATAATAGTACATATATTCTTAAAAATTCTATTTTATTTTCATTTAAAATGGGAATCTTCATAAAACAATGCACACACAAGTGGTATGTAAAAAGTAAGTAAAGCAGTCCCGCAACAAGCCATGTAGGTTGTTTAATGGAATAGAGGTATAGCTCATTCTTAACCTTGGCACTAGATGGGGTGTGGTTAGCATCACGCCCCAGCAGCACTTTACCCCCAGGAAAGGATCCTGGTACCCATTGGATAGGAGGCTGGGTGGGCCCCAGAGCCAGTCTGGACACAGAGGCTAGAGGAAAAATCCTCTGCCAACATCAGGGACCAAACCCCAGTCATCCAGCCTGTAGCTAGTCACTATACTGACTGAGCTATCCTAGCTCTACACAAGTGGTACACAATAACCTTCATCTTCTGCCTCCAACACACTACATTTACATTCAGTGGTTATGCTTCTTTTTTTCTCTTTTATACCAGTCAGTGATCCACACTAACATTAAACTGTCTAAGAAACAGTCATATTTTACAAAATATTTTCTTCACAAACTGATACAAATATTAATCCTCTGTGGTACAAACACATATTATGGCAGTTTACTATGGTAATGCCCATCACAGACTGACCAGAAATAGGTTGAAGAATTATTCTACAGAAATGTAATGTTTAAATTTTGGAGTTACAGGATTACTAGAATTTTCAGGACTGTAATATTATATACAACAAAATTATACAAATGAAATGTTTTATAGTAAGGTTTTAATATTGTAAATGCCAGCCTTCAAAAACAGCACTTACATTAGGCCTACTCCACTTCACATTCTCAACATCTGTACTTCCAATGCTGGAAGGAGTTGGAGGAAAGATGGCATCACTGTACAGAATATTTAACGTATGATAATGTTTGTATAACTTTTCATATTTCTGATTCTTGAATCTTACTGGTTTCTCATATAAGTTTTTCACCATTTCAGAACTTCTGATAACCTGAAATACAAAAATATTACTATTATAAAAACAGGATAATGCAGCATCAGTACTCCAGACTTATTTTGGAGACACTTGGTTAAATCTCATTTGGGTTACACACTATCCTCAATAAAGATGCGCACCAAATTACCCGCCCATCTCATTCTTCTTGACTTAATCACCCTGACAATATTGGGGGAAGTGTACAAATTTTTAAGCTCATCATTATGCAGTTTTCTCCATACCCCATCACCATCTCTCTTAGGCCCAAATATCCTCCTTAATACCTTATTCTCTAACAACTGCAATCGGTGTTCCTACCTCAGAGTGAGAGACCATTTTTCGCACCCATACAAGACAACAGGCAAAATTAGTGTTTTGTATATTTTAATCTTCTGGCTCTTAGAAATCAGACAGGAAGACAAAAACTGTTGTTCTCACTACGGATAATGTAAAACTGTCATGAGAAAGTTAATAATGTAATTATATATGAAAGTTAGTCCACTGTAGTGTATTTTGTTCTTCGGAAAATGTTTTGTAACTGTATTGTATTTGTAGGCGTTTACTGAATGATGACTTTTCTCACGATCTACCTACCTATCTATTGTAAACAGTATTTTCCAAGTAAGGAAATTTACTTCCTCGTAATCAGTAATAATTCTATAAAATTTGACATTTAAGGTTCAAAAGGTCAGAGTTATAAATAGATATGAAGCAAACCCGGCATTACTGCAATGTACAATATGTGCTCTCCAACATACCATTCACGGATTATCATATCACTAGTGTGAATTATCACTGCTTAACCAAGGAAGCATGTTACATAACATTCCTGCCCAATTTTAACACTTATCAAACACAAATACTTGAAACAAAGAGGGCGCCCATAAACAACAACCACGAATTGGTAGGGTACATTCAAACGCATGTGTTCAACCCTATTATCTAGGAAGCACAGATAAAGAATTATCACAGTACGAAAGCATGTCCCGCCATACCAACTTATTAGTAGATCGTGTGCTGCCGTCAGTTGCCGCAGAATAGAACGGCACCGGGGCTAACGATAGCTCAGGTGGTAATAAAAACATCTACTATTCGACCTCCACGATTATCTCTCTCCAGATCCATACACTAACGCAGCACACCAACCCAATTTGGTATATTGTATGGGGGGGAAGTGATAGATGGTTTATGGCACTGATTGACCGTGACATCTTCTTGCTGTTCATAATTATCCATCTTTTGATCAGTGGTTGGGAAAACATATGGCTCTATTGAACATTACATTGCACCAAAATGCTCTACTGGCCACTGTATCATCTCTAAAACTCTTGCCATGAAAAATATTCCACATGCACTACATAGGGTGTTAGATGAGGTTGTGGAGACCACAAATTTAATAGAAGCAAGACCATTTCAAGAGTTCCGAGTGTCCCTAGTAATGAAATGGGTTGCAGTTACACAACACTACTGCTACACACAAAATTTCAATGACTATCACAAGGCAGAGTTCTGGTCTGTGTATTCACACTGCACTCAGAAACTTTTTTACTCAGTGCTGATCACCCTTTCCACCTTTCATCCCACATCTGTGACATTGTTTGCCTCCAAACAGCATATATTTTACAAAGATAAATAAATTAAATTTATCATTCAAAAGTACACCTACCACTGTTATCTTTGTACATGAAACCACAGAATTCCTGGACCTAGTTTCACAAGGATTCTGTAAGGGAATTTTAACACAAATCTGCCTAAGAATGATTACTAGGCATCTATGCAAAGCCTCCAAAAGGCATGCACTGATAAAAATGTTATACTGCTTTCTGACACTTAAGTAATGATGGTCTTTCGAACATAATGGAATATTTACGAGGCCTACAAGTTACAGTGAATGAGAAATTCCACCTATGGTAAAAGGTTATCATTAATTATAAAACTCATTTATGGTACTCCTCACATAGCAAGGCTTATTAATAAAAGGTTATGAGGAGTTAGCTGACTCGCCCACGTGCTACCACTGGTCCACTCCCACGCCTGCTCCCATTGGCTCGGGGCAGGCTACACCTTTCACTTTCCGGCCCTATAAACCTAGCCCCACACACCCTATTGGTATATTCATCGCCCTGATGATGGAGGCAGTATGACCTCTGAAACGCTGGTTAACATCGACCAGATTACACAGCGCAACAACCCAGAAGACAGAAATCTTCATACTCACCGCTGTGAAAACCTCAAATCTTACATTAACAAACAGGTTTGAAAGAAGCATTCAAGAACAATCTTTTGATTAACTTCAAGCTGGTTTGAAAGGAAGAGTTTCAAAACATTTAAACTGTATATGTATATCTACATATGTGTGAAACAGCATCCTCATCATACGCAGCAACAAAAACAAAACACTGAAAGAGACAATGCAGAACAAGAAATGAGAATAGTTTTCCAACATTGTACCTGATATCAACTCCCTTGCAGTTCACTCAAAGCATAAGTTAAGTACAATACAAATTGTTTCCTAAAATGTAGGGTTGATCTGATTTACATTTCTGCATGCAGAATTTTAAACTAAAAATAAGAACTTAAAAAATATCAGTGAGATTTGAGGTTCTGATGGTGAAGATGATACTGTTCTTCTAAGTTGTAATGCATTGCAGACACCAACATTTCAAAGAAACATGCCATATCCATCATTAGGATTCAAGGATGACTTTGTAACTACATGCTGGTCTATATGGCATTACAACTCAGAAAACAATCGTTCAAAAGTGTTTTTTTTTTTTTTTTTGGGGGGGGGGGGGGTCTGCAAAAATATTTTAGTACCAAAAGGGCTCTACAGAAATAAAAACTTTCAGAACCACTCTTATGAAAAATTAGCTCTTCATTTATTTTATTTCTCAGAAATATGTCTATTGCATAAATGGATAAATAACTGTACATTCAAATTATCAAGGGAATCATTTCATGCAATCACTTAAATTATAAGAAAAATGTTTATGTAGTAATGGACCATGTGTATCATAATTTATGCAATATTTGTGTACAGCATACATAATACTGAACTGCTACTAATACCTCAACAAGTATTCTTTGACTCTTCTGTTCCTAGTA